ACAAAAGCCATTCATATTGAATTGGTCACGGACTTAACAAGTGAGGCTTTTATCGCATCACTTAGACGATTTACAGCTAGACGGGGAACTCCGTCTCATCTCTATTCTGATAATGCCACTAATTTTGTGGCTTCTCAAAAAGAACTAATAAAATTTTATAATTTCTTGCAAAATTCTGAAAATTAGTTAATTGCATTGTGTTCAAAAGAGAACATTACATGGCACTTTATTCCTCCTAACAGCCCTAATTTCGGTGGTTTGTGGGAATCAAACATTAAAGCAATAAAAAATCATTTGTACAAGGTAATCGGTGATTCCGTTCTTACTTATGAAGAATATTTAACACTATTAGTACAGATTGAAGCTGTCCTTAATTCAAGACCATTGCATCCAATGTCTTCAGAGCCTAACGATTTAACCCCTCTTACCCCATCCCACCTATTGATTACACCACCTCTACTCAACGATGTGAAAACCAATCGGCTGTCCAGATTTCAAATGCTGCAACAAATCAACCAGAGCTTCTGGAAGCGATGGTCTTCATCGTATGTTGCAAATTTACAAAGACGGGTCAAATGGAAAGCGAAAGGTTCAACGCTCAAACTGGGGACAATGGTTGTTCTGAAGAACGACAACCTTCCTCTTTGCAGATGGTTATTAGGAAGAATAATCAAGGTGCATCCAGGACTTGACGGCGAAGTACGAGTAGTGTCTGTTAAAACGCAACACGGTACATTTAAACGTGCCATTACTAAAGTGTGTCCGCTTCCAATGCCTAGTGAACAGTGTACCTTTTAAGAAAAGTTTTGAGCAGTTGCTCAAAAGGGGGGAGTATGTTTAGTTTAGAACAGGGAATATTGAAATTATATTGTTGTAAGAGCTGCCAGCATGTTGGCACCACTTTTCACGCAGATGTCTGTCAATGCACTTCATGTAAAGCGCATTGTGAATTGTCAGCGCATTATTCGATTATCGCTGCACCGACATCCATCAGATCAGCTAATTGTTACCACGTGTTTCGTATTTTTCAATAAATAAAGTTAGCGCCTATTTATTGTTTTCTTCATAAAAAATATAACTACAGTCCACTATATTGAAGAGATGTGTGCAAACATCCGAACACCTTCGAAAACATGCTTATCGCAAAATAGAAAGCAACCAAAATTAAACTGCTAAAAATAAAAAAATACAGATAATAGTTTTACATTAATAGACGAATAATTAGGTTCAGACAACCTTACTTGACTCTTATGCGAAAATTTTTCGTGTGTGGTTTTCTCACTGGATCTGGAGATCTGGTGATTCCTAGCATCTTCAATGCTTCAAGTCCACAACAGCGACATTACCTGTAGTATAGAACACGAAATAATAAAATAATCAAACGTATTTAATTTAAACATCAACATACCTTTACATTTTTGCCGTATCTCATGCGAACATTTTTCGTGTGTGGTTTTCTCACGTGATCCCTAGCGTCTTCAATGCTTCAAGTCCAGAACAGCGGTATCACCTGTATGTTTAGAACAAGAAATAATAAAATAATCAAATGTATTTAATTTAAACACCAACATACCTTTCCATGTTTGCGGGGTTTTAAGCCATAATTATACCGTAATTTCCGTCTTGAAGACACATCCTAACACTGAGGCACAAGCACGGTTTTTATATTTTTACTCATATTTATTTTTCGCATCGATTAATATGGATTTTTAATATTCTCAAGTTTTCGAAAAACACGTGATGCACGTAACCAGAGATAAACATAGA